TCTAATCCAAGTGGAAGTGAGAGATTGCGTGACCTTTCCTCTTCAGGTCACGCCGAGAGCAAGAGGGGAAGAGGCTAACAAAACGAGAAAAAAACAGAGAACCTACTGTATCTCAGACAGGCTGTGGCATTGCCTCCTACCTCAGACATCTTCACCATTGTTTCTGCTCAGCTGCCTATTAATATCATATTTCACCAAATCATTCTCATTACCCACCGCCCACAGAAAAGAGAAGAGGAGGAGCAAGGTCTGGATAAACAAACATGTTGATCTCTTAACGTAGATGTGGCACATCAGTAACAAACAAGCCCTCACACTATAACATGTTTGTACACACATGTATACACACACACATGCAGACGTGTATGCAGGCATGCTCCACACGCGCAGCATGATCAGGGTCATTAGTGCTTGTTAATTAGAGCTGTGTTTGTCAGGGGTGTGTTGTACCTGCTCAGCACTTTGCTAATGAGCTAACTCAATCAACCACCTGCTGGGACTAAGCCTTTAATGCACCCGACTAGCTTGTAGACAAACACATGAAAGAAAAACAGGACTACAGCCTGCCTGCACCAGACAACAGCACACCTCTAGATCAGCACTTCTCAATCAGAAGACAAAATGTGGGACACGGCACTCTTCTGACACAATCACATGATGGTGCCCAAAGAGAAAAACGTAACTGTTTATTAATGATTTTCACACTTCCAGCAAAAGAACATTCAGTCTTTTCAGTGACTGGATAAATATCTGTGCTCAAATAAAGCTCACGTCAATACAACATCAATATTCAATTTTACTTTATTTTTGAGATGGTCATTATGACCTGACCTACAAGATTCATGTTTTTATCACGTGGCTTGCACATCTTGCTTGGTCTGGCATCTATTTTCATGTTAAATGCAAAACAAGTTGGAGTACAAAGGACAGATGAATCAGACCCTGAGTTGAAAGAGGGACATCTTACTAAAGTACAAGTTCATTCCGAGGCTACAACACTGGAAGACTTTTTTGTGTACCACTTTGTGACACTTTTGGGTTCAGGGGAAGTTTAAACACGCCTGCTGCTGTAGTCTGCTGTCCTGTGTTGTTCCACTTCATATTCCATGTTCCTTCTCATTACATCAATGTGACAAGTCACATTTGAGTGTCCCCTTCAGAGCCCCACACTCATGCCAGAGAAACCCATTTGATTGAATACTCCCTGTGCTGTGATTGGTTGACTGCTGGGTTAGGGAGAGTTCATATGTCCCAGCAGGAACACTTTATCCATATTATACTGGCATAGAAAAAAAAGCCCTACATAGGGACATCCATTACGGTGTATATCATGCATGAGGTGTTCCTGTAAATAGTTGTCATGATTTTAGGGTCAGGCGTGTTATTCGAGTAGTCAGTTTATTTTTGCCCCATTGACTTTCTGTTGGTGCCACAGCAAGTTGTGTTTGACACTGTATTTGTGCATTTGTGTCAAAACAAACATACAGCAACACGTCTCTGAGGAGGAGCAAGCCTCTGACGGAAGTTTATGTTTCCAGGTTTATGTGTGTGTCTTAGAGTGTGTTGTGTGCATTCCAGCTGTGCGTGAACATGACCAACGAGCGGCTGAGGCAGTACGTCTCCGAGGTGCTATTCCAGCAGGAGCAGGCTGAGTGTCTGCAGGAGGGCATCGCCATGGAGACCCCACGCTTCCCCGGCAACCAACCAGCCGTTCTGGACTTCTTTCTTCAGGTACTGTACGTTACTGGTTCAGACCAGTGCAGTCCAGTTTGGTGTCTCACAATGTAATTCAGCATTGCAAGCCCACCCAGAGACTTAAAATCACACAGCTAAATTCAAATTCAGACAATTTCAGACAAAAAAAATTCATTTCTTGTTTTCCTTATTTTTTCCAAAAATTGTTTAAGCAAAGTCTATTTTGAAAGTGCGGATGTGTAAAAAAATAAAAGGACTGGTGGTAGCCCAGTGATTAAGATGCCAAGACCATGTAATTGCAGCATGTCCCCCTCAGTTGCAGCCAGGGATCTTTGTTGCATGTTACCTTTCACCCCCTACGTTTTCTGTCTTTCTCTACTATCTCTATCAATAATGGCCGAAATGCCCAAAATATGCTATTTGATATCAGAAGGACAATTCCACCCTATGGCGGTAAAGTGTCAGAATTAAAATAAATGATTACTGTTATTATCAAGGGTGCTTTGTAGACATGACTGACATAAATAACGTGAGCATCTGTTTTGTACCTCCTCCAGAAGCCTCAGGGACTGCTGTCTGTCTTAGATGAAGAGAGCCAAAGCCTGCGGCCAGCAGAGCAGACCCTGTACAAGAGGCTGTCGACCCAGCTGGATTCGAATCCAACTCACGGCCTCTCTCTCACAACCAAGGACGGCAACGGAAACCCCCCACCCAAAGACCAGGGCCCAGCATTCACTGTCAGCCACTATGCCGGACAGGTCTGTCTGAATTTCTGAAAAAAAAATATATACAGTATATTTAGAGGTGGTAGAGCTAGACAGTATAAGATGAACTCTATCAGACAGGTTATCATTGCATTCTTTGTTCTTCCCTTTCTAGGTATTGTTTGATAAAAATCAGTCTGAAAATCAAGTAAGATAGGCTTTATTTCACACCTGCAAAAATAATGTTATATATATATATTATTTTAACACCTTGATGCCTTACATTAGCTCATTACATCTGTAGGACGTTTTAGGTACTTGAATGGCTTCAGTGTGTGATTTTCTGTTGTTACTGTTTTTTTCAGCCATGCACTTGTATTTCAGGTGATGGAACAAAAAGTATGTTTCCTCCCGAAGTTGCAACTATTTTCAAATTATTTACATTTAACTTAGTTTTGTTTACTGGAGCTAAAGTGCGCCAACAAGACTTACATTATTTCTTGTTTTTCTCCCAGCTCCTCTGCACATGCAGCAGTTTCTCCAACATGTGTCTTGTTTATCCAACTGGGCATTGGTTATTAACATCAGCCACCTACCCTTGTCTGTTTGGAATGCACCTAAACAAAACAAGTCAAGAACATATGCAGTGACAGTGAGCGCTTGTTACTTAGAGGTTAGCTGTGATTTATTGTTTTACGTTGTACTGCGTGAAGGGGGAAGGCTACAAATAAACGCCTCTCTGATGATTTGGCCTGCTATATATTTGTGTTGGTGACTCGTAGAGCTTTTATGATGCATACAAGTTTACTCTGTTATCAAACTGAAGAAAGAGAGGAGGTGATGTGATAGGCTACAGTTGTTACTCACCCCTAAACTGTCTGCTTCTAATATATAATAGATGATATTTTTTATTTTGTGAAAACATATTAGACACATATAGATTGATACCGAATAGGAAATAGCTCAAATGTAGAGGAAACTGGTCCATGGACAACCTACCATATTACAGTACAGACTACAAAAAATTATGAACCTTCAACTTAACGTAACAATAATTAATTTTAGTAGAGTTCTCACTCAACATAGCCCTGCCAAACCAGCAGCCGCTATACAGAACATAGTACCAAGCTATTTAACACATTTACTTTTATTATGGATAGAAATGTATTATAGTTTAATATATTGTTATTGGGCTATGTGATTGGAAGCTTGTATGAAAGCTTTATGTTTTCTACATTGGAAACAAGTTGACTTAAAGCCACAGACCCTGAGAATAATAAGTCTTTATTTAGATCAAATAAATAGGTTGAACTTGATAAAACACATAACAGTAGTCCTATTTATCTGCTCTTAGCAAGTATTATGCAGGGGCTAATTGCAAATATGAACTTTAGAGTTGTATTATTGTATTGTTAAAATAAATAAATAATTTTAAAATAATATTTTTCTTTAAAAAGGTGGTGCACATTAGAAATGCCATGCTCACCGTAAGAGGGGGAAAAAAAGATATTCTGTTTCTGATCAACACCCTCTAACTCTAAGATATTTTCCACAAAATTGAATTATAATTTTTATGCTACCACATCTTATAGCCAAAGGAGCTTTTACAACGGTATAGGTCTATGTACATTGATATATTCATATCGTATTAGTGAATGACCATGTATTATTTGTTTCTCCACCAGATATCATATGACCTCACAGGATCGCTCACAAGAAACAAGGACTCCCTTCCTCAGAATCTCTTGTTTACGATGAAGTGTAAGTACCCAATGAATAACATGCATATGAGCACATTGTCGCGTCAGAGCACTCTTGATCACAAAAGATTCACTCTTGTCTAAACCAACAGCACACAAAACCAGTCTCTAAGTGCAGTTGTGTTTGTATATGCATGTGTGTGTTTCATCACATATGCAACAGACAGCACCGTCTGTGTATATTGTCTATAGAAGGTGCCAGATGTGGGGTGTTGTGGTTAGCGGGACACAGGCAGTCGTTGTGCGACTGCCAGGCTAGCCTTAAGTCCAGCAACCTAATTGCTATAATTCCCATGATGAGGCTAATCTTCTAAAGGCTAGCCCTTCACTCACACTTGGCTGTTGTCCCTCCGTCTGGCCGAGTCGATGCGTCATTGCCACTCATCACATGTGCCATTTCTACTTATGGATGTCATCCCCTTCCCACTTTAAATTTAAGCTTTAAAGCTAATAGCACATCCGAGGGATGTATGTAAGACTGTATGGTGGCAATGAATGTTTTAAATGATATGACAATTATAATGTGGCTGTGTAATTAAGTCCTTAAATGAGTCCAGGACTCGTGTTTGTTTTTCTTTGCTTAATACGCCTACCTGCCATCATACTGCCTGTTTCTATCTGGCTCTCTCTCTCTCTCTCTCTCTCTCTCTGTTTCTCTCTCTCTGCCTTTCAGATGAGAGCCACACGCCCACGTTCACACACATGTTGTTTGGCTTTTTTGAATGAGCTCATTGTTGTTGTGGACTGCTCCACGTGTTATCGAACGGCATGGTCCACCCCCTCT